GGGGGGGGGGGGTAGGGAAAGAGGGCCCGCAATCTTCTCTCTATAAGGAGAGAGCAGAGCCCGCTCAATATGGGGTGGGGTTTCATGAAAGCAACGCCGCCCACCACTCGACACTGAGGAGGGGAGGAGGGTGAGGTGGCAGGGATCGGGTCAGGACCACGGGGTGACTGCGTGGCGGGTGGAGGAGACCTGAGCAAAGTCATGGCCACACCACCACATGGCCCTCGGCTGAGTTTACCATCACAGTCGCTTTAATCTTCTCTATCGCTTCCAAAGCCAGCCATCTCATCAACTATCAATATTCTGACCTCCTCGCGTACCTCATCCGCCCCCCCCCCTCCCTCCCCTGGTCGCCTCTATCACAACCGATCCCATCTCCCCCCTTCACCCCATTCAACACGATGGCAAAGACCAACACCAACCCGATACCTATCGCATCTCAGGCAATACCCCCCAACCAACCAACCAGCCAACCAGCCACCGAACCCGTTCGACTCCGCCCACCGACCGACTCCACCCACAGCCCAAACCCACCCGCTCACCGACTCCGCCCACCGACCGACTCCGCCCACCGACTGACTCCGCCCACTGACCCCGCCTTCCACCCACCCACCCACCCACCACCACCACCACCACACACACCACCACCACACACACCACCACACACACACACACACCCCTCACACACACACACACACGCACACATCCCTCCCACCCACTCATGGAGTTTACCTTCTATTACGTGGTCATTGCCCTCTGCATCTGCAATGGCTTGTTGTTCCTCGGCGGACTCTCTTGGCTCTACTTTGCCTTTGTCCGTGGAAGGAGGTGGAGTACCATCAAGTCGTACTTGCTCACCATTGTCTTTGCATCTTTGACTCGGACCTTTATGTTGTCTTTTGGTGCCACTGGTTATGATGATGATCATCCTGCTGGTCATGGTCTTGGAAATCCTGGTCTCATCGTCGTCACCGCTCTACTCGCCGCTGCATCGGCTGCTGCTCTCGTCATGCTTGTGGCTCAATGGGCTGCTGTGTTTCAAGCTGCTGCTGCTACTCCGGTGGCTCTACTCTCTCGTTCCGCTTCGAGCATGATCGCTGTTCTGGGCGTCATTCTTGTCGCTACCTTGCATATCATCTTGGTCTTTGTGGTCATGCCCGCCGGCTCTCTTGCTGCTGCAAGGTCCAGGCTAGAGACCGCAACAGTAGTGGTCAACTCGATCTTGCTCCTCGCCCTACTGGTTGCCAACTCTGGCATCGGCTACGTCCTCTATCTCTACGGCGATCGGCTGCATGCCGACGATGAAGGCCTCCTCGCCCAGCACTACACCCGCATGGTCTTTATCATCTCGTTCTTCTTCGCCATGGGTCTGGCCTTTGACATGGTCCCCTCGAACATGTGGGTGACCGATCCGGTCTCGGTCGGCATCTACTACATGGCTGCTACCCTCGTCACTTTTCTGCAGCTTGCCGTTGTCCGCGCCCTCCCGCAGGCCCGGGTCTCGGACGCCATGTTCTCCATCGTCGCCACCTCGGACGACATCCTTGCCCTGTAGCTTCCTCGTCGGTCGCTACACAGCAAGAATCGCCGCCGCGCTCTGGCTCACCGGCTCGCTGCCCGACTCGCGGCGCGGTGTGTCGATGAGTTCAACCACCAGGTTGCCTGCGTCGCCCACCGTCACCTGCGCCGCCACCCCACGGGTAAGGAGGCCTGCGCTCGAGGCGTCGGCGAGCGTGTTGCCGACCTCGCGCTCGATGATGTGCTTGACCGACCGCACCCCGTACTTGGGATTGTACTGCGCCATCACCGCATCTACCACCGCAGCGTCAAACGTGAGGTCCAGCCCGTGCCGGCTTGCGGCGAGGTGGACCCACTTGGCGAGGAAGAGGTTGATGACCGATGCCAGGTCCTGCGGCGTAAACGGCTCAAACGGCAGAATGTCGTCGATGCGTCCCAGAAACTCGTCGCGCTTAAAGTGCGCCTTGAGAATCGGCTCGAGTGCCCTGTTGTACGTCGCGAGGCTCGGCGAGCCGTCGGCCATGCCCGTGATGACGTCGGCGCCGAGGTTGGACGTCATGATGAAGATCGCGTCCGACGCGTACACCGTCCCGCCCTTTGACGGCGTGAACCGGCCCTCGTCAAAGACAGAGAGCATGACGGTCAGAACGTCTGGGTGCGCCTTCTCCACCTCGTCGAGGAGCACCACTGTCGCCGGATTCGCCCGCAACTCCTCTGCAAAATACGTGCCTTCCGAGCTGCCGACATAACCCGACGGTGCGCCAAGCAGCTTGGCAACCGAGTGCCGCTCCTGATACTCGCCCATGTCGACCCGCAGTACCGCCGAGGCGTCGCCGAGACAAGCCTCGGCAATCGCCTTGGCTAGCTCGGTCTTGCCCACCCCCGACGGGCCCACAAACAGAAACACCATAGGCGATTCGCCCATCCGCCAGCCCTCGTAGTACCGCATGATGCCGCGAGCCACCCCGTCAACCGCTGTGTCCTGGCCCACCACCCGCCGATGCAACACGTTTGCCAGCGTCTCGCCACCCAAATACTCGAGCAGCTCGTCGCGGCTCCGCCGCCGGGATACGCCGCTGCACGCTGCCGGCCCCGCCGACGACGACGCGCCCGTCGCACCACTGCCGCCAGCATCTCCGCTGCTCTCTCCGCCACCTGCGACCGCCACACCTGCTCTGCCCTCGTCATCCAGATGTGTCTTCAGCTGCTCCGCACGCTCCAGGTACTCGATGACCTTGCCACGGACAGCATCCCGCATCGACGGCGACTTTTCGTACTTGAGATAGGTGGTAAAGTACTCGAGCGCCCGCGTGTACAACGAATACGCCTCCTACATTCACCTCCATCCAACTTTCACTCGTGAGTTTGCCTCGCACACATCTGGATCACAATTGACCGCACTTGTAGCCATCTAGAGCATGGTTATCTCTCTCGCCGCGACGAAAGCAACCAAGAAAAAACGCTGCGTGTATGGAGGCCAATCAAAACTCGCATGTGCGGAAGTATGGATAGTGACGAGAGAATGGAATAGCGCGTCGAACAACTTGCTGAGACATGACCAGAGCATGCCGCTGACTCGGCTAACCAGATGCGAAGAGCCACCTACCGCATAGCGCTCGGCATGATCCATCTCTACTGCCCGCTTCACAATGGCTATGCCCTGTTCACGAAAGTTGGCACTCATGGCGTCGAGAACGGCACAAAGTGAGGTGGCCGTCGAGTTTGCGCGAGCGGCAGCAAAGGCCGCGCGCCGGCACTGACTCGGACAGAGGCCGAAGCTCGGCATATCGCCATGTTCCTGCTCACGGTCAACACACGCTGCTTGCGATGATGGCTCTGGTCATCCACAGTAATCTGCACGGGTATGCATCATTTATGTCGCAGTCCGAGCCTCCAGACAGTGGCATTTGGGCCAGTCACAGCAGGGAAAGAGCCACGGCCGAGCAATGGTCTCGAGCTGGTTCGGGACGTTGCTTACTGTAGCCTGGTGTGTGTGGACGGCATCAGCAGCAGAAGCAAGGACTGCGGCAACTGCAACGTCGCTTGGGGCGAGCGGTGCGCTCTCGGATGGATCGGCAGCAAGGTCAAAAACAAGCGGCGGATCGTGGACCGTTCCGTGGCAACCACACACAAAGGTCGATGCGCACGCCTGGGTCCCTGCGTCGGGCACCGGCGACTCGTAGACGACCTTATGGCGCCGGCCGAGCCGGACAGCGGCAAGCTGGTCGCCGCAATAGTGGAAGAGAGGACGGTCGGGGCTTGTGGTAGCCGCATCGACGAGCGAGACGCCGTCAAGCTGGCTCCGACCAATCCGAGCTGCCAGTCCGCGGCCGACTCCGTGCACCGCATCAAGAACCGTCGGTACAATGTCGAGGTGTGACGCTGGGTGCGTCGACACCGTGCCTCCTTCGATGTGGTGCGGCCAGGAAATGATGCCAGGCACCCGGAAACCACCGTCCCAGACTTGGCCCTTGCCGCCACGCAGCTGGCGTCCGTCCTGGGCGCGGCCGTGTGCAGTGGCGCGCTCGAGATGGGGCCCGTTGTCCGAGGTAAAGATCACAAGTGTGTTGTCGAAGACGCCTGCGGCGTCGAGCGCATCCACCACTGCCGCTACTGCCCCGTCCACCGACGCCAGGTCAGCCTCGGGCAGCGCAAAGTAGAGGAAAAAAGGTTGCGGCGACGCCGCAGCGCCGCCGATAAACTGCGTCGCCTCCTGCACAAGCCTCGACGTGAGGTTCGCCAGCACCACAGGCTGCTCCACAAGCTCGTTGTCGCGGAACAGGACACATGCTGCAGGATTGAGAACCGAAAACGAGACCGCGTACAAGTACACCCCACCCATCGCCGCCGCTACGTACATGAGCCCAAACTTGAAGCCGACGCTTCCGATGGCGCCAAGCGTGTAGGCCGCACCGAGGAGGCAGACCAGCGAGATCCACACATGATAGGTAAGAAAGAGGATATAGACCGCATCGCGCGGCGCATCACGCCCCAGCCCGTCACCGGCACACGTCAGCGCGTGCGAGACCGGCATGCCGTAGTACGACTCAAAGCCGTGCGCCAGTGGAAGATGCGCCCCGTTCGGCGACCAAGCCGACGCGTCCGACATCCCCAGATGCCACGTCCCCACCGCCGCTGTGGCGTATCCAAGCGCAAGCAGCTCATCTGCAAGCGTCACCGTGCCGTGTGGGAGGCCTCCCACTTGACCAGGCGAGTAGAACGTGCGGAAGGTGTCCGCTGACGACGCCATGCCCAGCCGCACCGGGTAGCTACCAGTGAGCAGTCCGGCCCGTGCCGGCGTAGCCAGCGCTCCTGCCGCCACCATGTGCTCCAGCACCCGTCCCCGCCGCGCGAGCTTGTCGATACCTCCAACTTGGCCATGACCTTCCGATTCACCGCCATCATGCCCATCATCACGAACATGATCACGACGAGGATCATTGACATGACGACCATCATCATCATCATGGATGCCGTCATCATCATCATTACCCTCATCAGTACCCTGGCCGTGGACCACCTTCCCATCATCTCCACCTTGTGAGAAGAGCACAGAGCGGGTCGCCCTGACGTCTTCCATGCCCATGTCTGCCGCCACGAGGACGACCACGTTGGGCGCCGGCTCACCACCGCCGCCGAGGTGACCAGCACCATAGACAGCTGTAACACAGAATAGAAGAAGTGAAAGCGCTAGAAAAAGCCATGCACTCCGAGAGCACATCACTATCCTGCTCATACTGTAATGAGAGTGGTGTATCTCTCGTGCTCCCCTCGCCCCACCTCTCTAAAGTCCTCCCTATCTTCTGCTCGCATACTCGCGACGGCGTGGCACTCGGCGACCGACACGATCCGACACCACACGATTGGATTCGGCGCCCCGTCCAACTCGACTCGAGACCATCCGATCACCACACCAGTGTGTGGTGTGGTGTGGGGGGAGGGGGGGGGGGTTGCTCTGGCAGCTCACAGTCACAATGCTCAATCATTGGAAGCCTCACGTACTTGATCATGGCTGCGAGATTTGTGCTGTTGCACGCATCGCGTGGCGCGCTTCACGAGCAACGCCGGCCGGCACTACTGTGTCTTTCGGCCACGAGCCTCCATCCGCGCTTTGATGGCGGCAACGCGCTCGGTGACCGGCGGATGGGTGTAGTGGTAGGCCGAGTAGAGTGGGTGCGGATCAGACATGGACTTGTTCTCGCGATGGAGGGCCTGCAGCGGCGGAACCAGGTCGAGCCCGAGGTCCACCGCATAGGCATCGGCATCGTACTCAAACTTGCGCGAGAGCATGTGCATGCCAAGCGAGACTGCGGCATCGACAGGGACCGCAAGGAACGAGAAGACGACGAGCCGGATGAGGTGCGGTGGGAGATCGCCGGCGCTGCCGTCAGCGCCAAAGCCAAAGCCAAAGCCAAAGGCCTCAACAAGGCCAGGCCAGGCCATCGCCTGTGAAAAGGCATAGAGGAAGCCCAGAGCATAGGCCTGGACGATGATGAGGTTCCACCACGTGTGGCCGAGCACGTAGTGGCCCATCTCGTGACCGAGGATGGCGACAACGCCGTCCTGGTCGACCTGGTCGAGGAGAGTGTCAAAGAGCACGATGCGCTTAGCCGAGCACATGCCGTACATGTACGCGTTCGAGTGGTTGCTCATTCGCGAGCCGTCCATGACCATTACCTCGCCGAGCGGAAAGCCGGCCTTGTTGGCCACCGTGGTGATGCGGGCAAGTAGGGCGTCCGACGCCGGTGTAAAGGTGTTGAAGCACGGCGCAATGAGCCGCGGGTGGGCAAAGAGAAGGACGACCGAGGCGCTGACAAGCACAGCCCATGCGTAGAGGTACGCACTGCCAGACGTGCTGCCCCATGCAAGCGCAGCGTCCAGCGCGAGCGCCAGCGGGAGCCCGATGACACCAGCCACCACCGCAGACTTGGCCGTATCGCCCAGCCAGAGCCAGATCGATCCGGTGAAGAACCCGAATCGCTTCTCGATGACAAAGGTCGACCAGGCAGCACTGGGTAAGCTGGTGACCAGCACCACTGCGCCGAGCAGGGCCACATACACCATCAGGGTGAGCCGAGGCGAATCGCCGACAACCTCCATCTCCGATACCATCGCCCAGACGCTCGCCAGCACATCAAAGGCAATGGCCATGGCCGTTGCACCTGTCTCCACGCTCCGCGCTACCAGCGAGAGCTTCAGCTTGGCGGTGTTGTAGGCAACGGCCTCTGCCTCCAGCTCATCACCATCACCTCCACATGATCTCGAAGACAGCCGATGCAGCTGCAACAGGTCGAGCAACGTCTCCCAAGCCCATTGTGCCGCAAGAAAGCACAGCGCGAGTTGTTTGATGTCAACAGAAGCGCTAAATGTCATGATGGTCATGATGGTCATGGCCAGCACTGACGATATGTGTGTGAGGCAAGTGCCGCCGTCGACGGGCGAAAAGGGGGAAGAGGAACGCAGGGCATACTGCGGCCTTTTGGCCAGCCTCTGGAAAAAGGTCGTAAGATAGGATCGAGCGAGCGAGCCATGGGCAGGGGGGACAAGGACAAGACGGTACACTTGACGCCCTTGAGGACCGCAGACTCTGAGCGAGTTGCGTAGCGTAGAGGACAAGTGTTGCAGTTGTTGTATGTCCAAGCTTCAGCCTACCTCTGTGAGTGACTTCTTCTCGCCGACACCGGTGGGTAGCGGCAGTGGCAAGCGGCGTGTGGCAAAGTCGGGCGCTGTCGCCGACTCGCCTGTTGCCACCAAGCGGAGCAAGGGGCTCAGCTACGCGAGCTCTGACGAGCCAAGCACTACTACTTGCACAACTGTCACTACTCCAAAGAGTACTACATCCACCATGTCTACTTCTATGCCTTCTTCCAAGCGCATACGTTCTCTCAACACCGAACTCGATGCCCAAGCCGAGCGTGCTAAGATTCTACTCACGACGGCCGACTCGTCGTCCATCGTCAATGACAACGTTAATAATGCCGATGATGTTGATGCTGATGATGGGGTGGCATCAATTAATGCTGCCGCTGCGTCCAACAATGACCACGATTCGACTCTTGCTGCTCTTCATCCAACCTCGGCCTTTGCTGCCTCGGCTGCCTCGACTGTTGCGCCCATGGACGTTGTTTCGGCGACCGCCGCTACGCTGCCTGCTGGCGGGGCATCGTCGCTAGCGGGTGGCCTGGCTGACGTCGAGGTGCCGGCCGAGCTTGCGGCGGCCAAGTTTGCGCCACTGGACATCGCCAAGTGGTCGCCGTCCAAGGTTCGGGCATGGCGGGCGCGGTACACCATGCCGTCGGGCTACTACCATCGCCTGACAGATCTTGCTGTCCCGCCGGCCACCGGCGAGTGGGATGACGAGGAGGAACTCGAGCTCAAGGAGTGCATCGCCGACTACCTGGCCCGAGGCCTGTGCATCGGCGAGGACTGGGGGCTTCTCTCCAAGGCCATCCCGGCCCGGACCGGTGCCTCGTGCGCCGCCCACTTCCGCAAGCTCCTCATCGAGGGCGACCTGGCTCCGCCGCCTGGCTGGACGCTCAAGGAGCGCAACGGCCGCCTCCCCAAGCCCGTCTTCAACAAGGCCGGGTGCAGCTTTAACCCGCTGCCGCCTGCCGCCAACACCCTCTCGCCGGCGTGGACCTCGCCGGTCTATGCCCAGTGGGCCGCCCTCATCGACGCTTGGGTTGACACTCTGCATCCAGTCGATGCTGCACCAGCGCGTCCGCCGGCACCTGTCTCAGCCCCCAAGAAGCGCAAGCACTCGACGTCTGGCGAGGCCATTGACCTCACCGTCGACAACGTCGCGATATGTCCGGCCAAGAAGACTAAGGCGCTCGACGGCACACCGCAAGCCAAGTCGTCCAAGTCGTCCAAGTCGTCCAAGTCCAAGGCGAGCACCGAAGAGCGTGCTGCCGCCCAGGCTGCCAAGAACAAGGCCCGCGAGGAGGCCCGCGCCGCAAAGGCCGCCGCAAAGGCCGCCGCAAAGGCCGCGAAGGACAAGGCCCGCGAGGAAGCTCGCGCCGCAAAGGCCGCCGCAAAGGCCGCTGCAAAGGCTGCCAAGGACAAGGCCCGTGCCGCCGAGGCCGCCGCAAAGGCCGCCGCAAAGGCGCGTGCCGAGGCCGAGCGCAAGGCCATCGCCGCCGTCCGTGACGCCAACAAGGAGGCGGCCAAGAAGTGCCGCGCGGCGGCGCGCAAGGCAGCTAAACTGGCGGCGGCCAAGGCCAAGGCCAAGTCGTCGCCGGTCAAGGCGGCGCGGCCGCCGCCGAACGTGGCACCCATCACCTCGTTCTTCAGTATGAGCCCGGCCGCCAAGCCGGCCGCCGCCGAGCCGGCCAAGGCAAAGTCGTCGGCACCGCGCTCGTTTGTGGCCGCACACGGCCCGTGGTGCGCCCCGCGCGGCGCCCGCGTCGGTAGCTATGGACCCAAGCTTTCAGCCGAGCTCCGTGCCCGGATGAAGTGCAGCGTCGAGGCTGCGCTGGCGGCGGCGGGAGCTGGCTCTACCTCGCTCCCGGCGCCGACGCTGGAGGGCGCGTTTGAGGCACGCCCGAAGCAGATGGCGGTCCGCAAGGGTTGGGAGGCTGACGGCCGCCGTCTCAAGGTCATCGGCTTCTCAACCTCGCCGCGGCCACCGTACTTTGGCTCGTTCTCCAAGCCGCCCACACCGGCCATTACGGGCCGCAAGCCGTTTGGCCGCGACGACGAGCTCTTTGACTATGAGTTTGAGTCGGACGAGGAGTGGTTTGAGGAGGAGCCCGGTGAGCTGCTGCTCTCCGGCGACGAGTCGGACGAAGCTGGCGACGACGAGGCCGGCGATGAGGCCGACGGCTGGGTCGTCCCTGATGGCTATCTTTCGCCGGGCGAAAAGTGGATGGATCTCTCGTCCGGGCCCGACGAGGACTTTGATCCCGAGGCCGCCTCGGACCTCTCTGACGGCGACGACGACGGCTACTCGAGCGCCGGCCACAGTGGCTCGGCCAGCGTGAGCGACGACGACGGCTCGGACGACGGCTCAACGGCGAGCCACGCCGCCGCCGCTGCGCCAAAGCGGAGCAAGGCATCGCGGAGCAGAGCCACCGGCCACGAGGTGCGGTCCGGCGCAGATCTCCGAGCCCAGCTCCGTCGCGCCCGCAAGCTGGCGGCCAAGTCAGCGCGGCTGGTCCCGGTGGTTCATGTCGCCGGCGCGCCTGTCTTTGACGCGCTATGCGGCCAGCTCCTCGGCGTCACCAGCGTCGAGTCGGACGTTGTCGACACCGGGCGCTCGCTCCTGGCGTCGGAGAACACCGAGTCGACGGCGGCGCCCGCGCCGCCGCGCCCGACGTTTGACAACGTGAGCGGCGCCCGCGCCGCGCTCGCCAGGATGGTCCAGGGCTGGGAGGGCTCGCTGCCCAAGCTCGCCGAGGCCTTTACCGATGCGCACGCCGAGTGGGGCATTTCTAAGCGCGCGACGGAGATCGAGGCCAAGGCCATGGCCGCCCGAAAGAAGCTCGCCGGCCGCCCCGGCATCGGCGTGTACCAGGTCCTCCCGGCCGTGGCTGCCGAACTCGGCATCGCCGACGAGCTGGAGGCGCAGCTGGCCGCGCTTGCGAGCGAGGTCCCGGAGCCGGCGCCCGCGCCCGAGCGCCCGACCTTTGACAACGTCGACGGCGCCCGCGCTGCACTCGCCAAGATGGTCCACGGTTGGGAGAGCTCGCTCCTCAAGCTCGCCGACGCCTTTGCTGACGCACACACCGAGTGGGGCCTCACCAAGCGTGCGACTGAGGCCGAGGCCAAGGGCATGGCCGCCCGCAAGAAGGTCGCAGGCCGTCCCGGTATCGGCGTGTACCAGGTGCACGCCGCGGTTGCCGCCGAGCTAGGCATTGCCGACCAACTGGAGGTCTTCCCGGAGCCGTCGCCGGAGGCCGCCAAGTCCAAGTCCTCCAAGTCCAAGTCTTCCAAGTCCAAGTCCTCCAAGTCCAAGGCCGTCAAGCCCACGGCCGCCAAGCCCACGGCCGCCAAGCCCTCGCCAGCCAAGCCCTCGCCAGCCAAACCCAAGGCATCGATCGCAGCGTTGTTCTCGACCATGGATGCCGCGGCGTCGCCGGCGCTGGCCAAGGCATCGGCGGTGGTGGCGATGCCGGGTGATGTGCGTGCGGCGTTCCTCGCGCTTGACAAGAACCCGCAAGCGCTGGTCACGGCGTCGAAAGCGGTGACGTCTGCTGTGAGCGGTGCAGACCTGTTTGCCTGCACGCCCGAGGCTGCAGGCGCACTGGTGGCGGCGGTGCTGGACAAGGTGGCGGCCGAGGCGAGCCGGGCCACCATCCGGGTGGAGCCTGAGGTGGCGACGGTGCTGATGCGAGCGGTGAGCGTGGGCTTGTCGCGAGCAAAGACAAAGGAGGCGTTTACGGCTGCACTCGGCGCCGACGGCAGCGCCGCCGCCGTCCTGGTCTCGGCGCTCGGCGTCGGGAGCGCCAGCGCGGCGGTGCAGAAGAACGCACTACGCGCCGTCCTCACCCTCGTCGAGCTTGCCAACGGCTCGACAGAGAGCCGCAGCGCCGCGGCGGCGGCGGTGAGCCAGCACATTGCGCCCGCGGGTGCGCTGCTGGTGACGGCCGCCAACGCGTCCGACACCCGGGTGGCCGGCCTCGCGGCGCGGATCCTGGACGCAATGCCTGTGCAAGGATGATGTAAAAGAACACGAGGGATGCGCTCAACACCACGTCCTGCTCATGCCCGGCAGCACCGGTCACGGCGAGGTCCACTCGGTGTGCTCGGCGAGGTTGTACTGCTCCAGCAAGGCGCACTCGCCGCCCGAGGCCTCGTCGACAGCAAAGCGGCGATACCAGCCGTTGGCTGAGATGATCTGGAGGCCGAGCCCGTCGTTGGTAGCCAGGTCGGCGGCACCAAACGAGACACGGGCTTCGACGTCGGGCTCGCCGGGCGCAGTGGCAAAGGCGCGGAGCGGCTCCCAAGCCGAGGCCACGACCGAGGGCAGGACGGCAAAGAACGAGTCGGCGAGCGATGGCTCAGGTCTCTCGAGCTTGAACACGTGGACCGTTCCGCGCGACGAGGCCACCGCTAGGTACGTGTTGGACGCGTCAAAGGCAAGCGAGTAGATGGTGGCGACCTGGGAGCCGCGGCGGAACTCAAAGAGCAGATCGGCCGACGGGATAGCAAAGACCCGGATGACGGTCCCGTGCTCCGACGCCGACGCCAGGAGAGTACCGTCGTACGAAAAGGCCATGGCAGCGACGGCGGCCGACTTGTGCGCGTCGATGACAATGTGGTCGAGGATGTTGATGGCGTCGACGAGGACAATCGACCGGGCTGGCTCGCCGCGAGTCGGGGATTTTGGGTACGCCATGTACGCCGGATCGTCCGGCCCGGGCGAGGCGGTAAGCGCCACAACGCCGCGCGGGTTGTCGAGCTTTGAGATCTTTGCCAAAAGCTTGAGATTGCCACCCAGCTCATGAACATGGATGGCGTCGTGGAGGACGACAACCAAGCGACGGCGGTTTGTCCTTACAGCGAGAACGGCCGAGGGATAGATGACGTCCTTTGCCAGACTCAGTCGCCTTGTGTTGAACACGCGGAGCCTCCTTGGCGAATCATCTGACGACGGGCCACCCATACCGACCAGAACGATGAGCGAGGTGGAGAAGAGCATCTCGGCAATGCGGATACCACCACTGGAAGCCAGAGCCAGAGCACCTTCAAACGGACATGCCTTGAAGGCGGCGTAGCCCTTGCGGGTACCAATAGCAAACATGGTGGCATCTTGATTGAATGACAGTCCCACAATAGTGTGACCGTCATCACCATCATCATCATCACCCAATGCGACTTGCCCGCCACCACCGACTTGCCCGCCACCACCACCGATTTGCCCGACTTGACCACTCCCGCCATGACTGCTGGGTCCACCTCCGCTGCTCCCTTCTTCCATGCTGCTTGTGCTAGTCATAGCAGACATGTTCTCCTTGTTTTCCTCTGCTCTTCTTGATCCAGCGAGTTGTGTGTCGGAATGGCGTGAGGTGGCGGTCTGGATCTGGCTGAAGCTGTCTTCCGCGAACATCGCCAAAGTGTTCCTTCCCGTCCTCTGCCCGTTGGCTCACACCTCATCGATTAATCCATCATTCAATAATCGTACACTTTGCCATTACCCACCAACATCGTCAGCCACACACCCATCAATAAACTCTCGTTAGAATAATCGTCACCCAGCCCCACCCACCCACCCACCCGCACCACCCACCCATCAATAAGCTCTCGTTAGAATAATCGTCACCCCGCGCCAGCCCCACCACCCGCACCACACACCCATCAATAAACTCTCGTTAAAATAATCGTCACCCACCCCCCACCCCCCACCCATCAATAAACTCTCGTTAAAATAATCGTCACCCACACACACCACACACACACCCATCAATTAACTCTCGTTAAATAATCGTCACCCCCACCACCCGCCCCTTCCGAACCGCCTCCACCCCAAACCCCAACCCAGGTCGCCTCCATCATTCGATTGCCATCACACGCCGCCTCGGAGACAACCCCTAACACCCCACTAACCCGCACACCGGTCTTTCCCCGTGAGTACGCCCCACACCATCATACCATACACCCGCCCCTCTCCCTTCCCCTTCCCCCTACCCCCCCCCCCACCCCCTTACCCCTCCCTGCCGACCCACACCAACCCCCCCCCCC